CCTCTGTCATGAGCCCTCACAGGCCCCGATCGCCAATGCTGCAGCCGGTGAGTACTGGGCTTCTTTGTTTTTTGTTTAAATGCCAGAATGCCTGGGCCAGGCCGGGACCCAGGCAGGGCAGGGCAGCCATAGGGACTTCTCCCGCAGCTTACCCTACCCAGGGAGAGGCGGGCACAGCCAGAGGAGCCACCAGAGAACCTGCAGCCACCCAGCTGTACCAACCTCTCCCTGGCTGATCCGTATCAGCGCCAAAACAGCATCAAAACTCCAAAATAGATTCAGCCGAATCGAAACAGAAGTGATCCAAAACACCGAAACAAATCACCATCCTCCAAAACGGCCGAATCCAAAACCGAAACGAAACAGCCATTTCACACAGCCCTAGTGGACACCATGTGTGGGTTAACCTTGAGACTTGGGAAGCACCAGGGGCCAGATGATGGGGTTCTGCAGGCCAGATGCAGCCCTTACACTGTATCTTTGATACCCCTGATCTAACACAACATAGGTTAGGAAAGTAGGAAAAATGAAATGCTTGCTAATGACAGATAGCGAAACAGTAAGATGAAACCTGTTTACAATTTCAAGAATAACAAGCAAAAAGCAGCTTCAGGAAGGCTTTCCAAATTTGCAAGGTTAATACAAGTAGAAAAATCAAATCATAGCTATAAAATACAGCATAATCTAATTGTTGAATCAACTGCTCTCTCAATGTTTAGTATTTACCCACTCCCTTTAAGACTGGACTTGCATTCAGGCTAAAGAAGAAAAGTTAACATTTTGTCTCTTCCCTTACCATGGCACTATGCCTAAGAAAGTTCTCATACATACTGCCCAATCAAGGCAACTTGTTTAAAACATGAATACACTCAACGTTTTTCCCCATGCACTTAGACATGAAAAGCCAAACATTTTCAAAAGGAAGTTTGTAATGTAACACAAGAAAACCTGACATCTACAGGGTTAAATCACCCCAAAATCAGTTTGAAAGGGAATTGGCACTGCAGAAAGATACGGAAACAAGCACTGCTAGGAAGACATACATGCACTACCTGCTTATCTACAGAAAAGCAGAGACTGCACCATGGTCCGCACCCCCCCCCCCCCCCCCCCAAAGCAAACAGAAGCTAGAAAACAGACCAGCCTGTTACTCAATGATTCACTGGGCTTACTGACAGTTTTGTGCCATGAGTTTCTAAACTGACACGTCAAAACAATATACACTAAAAAAATTACTAGTCTACTAAGAAGCAGTGGAGACTGAACAGCCAACAATAGTGCGAATCTTGGTGTGTAGGAGCCAAG